CGCACCTCCCCAAACCCCATCCCCTACCCCCAAATATAATCCACTCTGCAACCCTCATTGTATACTCCTACGATAAAAATAATGCCCTAAAATATAATTCTTTTAGACTATTCTCTCCCCCATAGACTTCAATGCCGTAAACATATTTCATCCAGTATGTCAGTAATTTTTACAGGTTGATGGCTTTGATCTCAGCTTTGTTTCTTGGTTTGGTTTGATTTTTTTGATCTAGTGGTGTTATGTCTTCCACTGATCAGTCACCTCATTGTGGTGCCTGTTGACTGTGCTTCCCACGTGGTGGCCCTCACTGGCTTCCTCTCTTGTTTTCAAATAGCCCCTTTACTCCTCTGCCATCTTATTTCTCCAGTGCAGGCATAAATAACTTTTTCTTCCTGGAAACAGCCCTCTGCAAGACAGCCAGACCAGACTTAAGAGTTCAGCAGGTTTGTGTACCCTTAGCCTGCTAGGCTTGAATGGGTCACTAACGTGTATTCTGCCCCGCTGGCCATTTGGCCAATCACCATACTTGGACCCTTTGAATCTCCATCCTGTGCAGACAGTGAAGGGCAATCAAGAGAACTGTGGGAGCAGAGGATCCTTCACTGAAGTGAGATGGGTCCAGCCTGAAGACCTTGTGGGGCTGGGACAGTGCACACTCACACTTGTGGGGCCTTGGCACAAGTGGACTCTGGTTCTACCTTCCACAGGAGCAACTCATGCTTGGGTTGTGACCACCTGATCCTCCATCCAGCCCTCTGCTCATCTCCAGGACACACCTGGGTGCAGAGCAGCCACAGGGAAATCCACTTACTCAGAGGCTGAGCTGCAAACTGCCCCAGAGAAAATGCAGAGTATCTTGCTTATCTTCTGATTACTGGACAGCTTGATCTTTGACTTCTGCCTTGACTTATACTTTAATGTGCTCAAAAGTAACATTTTCCCCCAAATTGAAGAATGGAGATGAATTAGACCAAAATTCATTTCTGGAAATGTCTTGAGATAC